GCTGTATATTGTCTCCCTGCTTATTTAACTTATATGCAGAATACATCATGTGAAAGGCTGGACTGGAGGAATCCCAAACCGGAATTAAGATTGCCAGAAGAAATATCAACAACCTCAGATATGCTGATGATACAACTCTGATGGCAGAAAGTGAGGAGGACTTAAAGAACCTCTTAATGAGGATGAAAGAGGAAAGCGCAAAAATGGTCTGAAGTTCAACATAAAAAAACTAAGATCATGGCCACTGGTTCCACCACCTCCCGGCAAATTGAAGGGGAAGATATGGAGGCAGTGTCAGATTTTACCTTCTTGGGCTCCATGATGACTGCAGATGGTGACAGCAGCCATGAAATTAAAAGACACCTGCTTCTTGGGAGGAAAGCAATGACAAACCTAGACAGCATCTTTAAAAGCAAAGATATCCCCTTGCCAACAAAGGTCCGCATAGTCAAAGCTATGGTTTTTCCAGTAGCAATGTATGGAAGTGAGAGCTGGACCATAAAGAAGGCTGACCGCAGAAGAATTGATGCTTTTGAATTGTGGTGCTGGAGGAAAATTTTGAGAGTCCCCTGGACTGCAAAGAGAACAAACCTATCCATTTTGAAGGAAATCAACCCTGAGTGCTCACTGGAAGGACAGATCCTGAAGCTGAGGCTCCAGTACTTTGGCCGTCTCATGATAAGAGAAGACTCCCTGGAAAAGACCTTAATGTTGGGAAAGTGTGAAGGCAAGAGAAGGGGAGAGACAGAAAACGAGATGGCTGGACAGTGTCATCAAAGCTACCAACATCAATTTGACCCAAGGCAGTGGAAGACAGGAGGACTTGGCGTGCTCTGTTCCATGGGGTCACGAAGAGTCGGACACGACTTAACGACTAAACAACAACAGATTGTTGTACTTGAAAAAATTAAAATATCCTCTGAAAAGAAGCCCTAACGCATTTTTGGAGCAAAAATTAATATATAAGAGCCTGTCTTATTTTTGGGGAAACACAGTAGAATCACTGAAAATAATGCACTGAATGATGTGACTTGCTGGATCAGATTTATGGGTTATGTACATAGCTGCAAGGCATCTTAAGACACTTCTTATTTATTATTTCAACATATATACTGCCCCACTCGTGTAAACACTCTCTGGGAGGTTCACAAATCATCATATTAAGATCAACAATATACTATAAATACTATAAACTAAATTAAACTGTCACTAGTTTAAAAACCTGTATTTAAATAGAATTAAGTAAATTTAAAACAAATTATGACATCTAAGACCAATACTTAAAATCACTAAGAAAAGGCAGCTTCGTACAGTTCAGTTTTAATTAGTTTCTTGGAAACTGAGAGGGACGGCACCTGACCCTCTGTTCCAGAGGGATAGGAACAGGACTGAAAAAGCCTGGTTCCTGGTGTTAGCTCTTTTGGCCTTCTTAGGTGTCATCATCTTAATTATCTAAGATAATTAGACTATTTTTGGCTTAAATACTTCAACAGCCTTCTCTTGGCCATTTGCTATATCTTCTTTTGTTCCCGTGCTGGGACATAAACTGCATGCATGTGAGTGTTGCACTGATTGAATTTTTCCACAGTCACAGAAAAATTGTCCTGTATGCTGGGTGAAAAACAGTTCCCACTGAAAGGCAGTTTGGTTCCACTGTGCAGAGCAGTGAAACTGGAGGAGCTTCCAGCTGGCTCCTGGTCCCAGGGTTACATGACCCTTTGCCTGGACGCATCCATACTGAAGACACCATATTCTAGTGCTCTGGCTAGCTAGGCACCTCCTTTTCTGCTGCAGACGCCTGTCTGGCTGCAAGCAGGAAGGCAAGACCTTGGAAACAGTTAATCAATAAAGAAGGGTAAACACTCTCTTTTGTGTGTACACTGAATTGTGTGTAGGAGCTAGAGAAAATGCTTCAGCGCCAGAAGAGTGT